TTATAAGATTCTTACTCGATTCTTATCTGATTCTTACGAAATTCGTGCAACTTTCGTGCCACTTCATATATACGAATCTGATAAGAATCTGATAAGATTCTTATCAGAAATTTCAAAAAAAATTTGTCTAGGGCAGAATGTTATATAGTTGAATTGATGAAGTTTTATAGAAAGGAAGGGTAAAAATAAAATTGTTGATACAGAAAATCAAAGAAAGAGAAATGATTTGAGTTTACAAATGTTTTTTAAAAACTTTTGTTTCATTTGAATAACTTTGTCTAACAGAACTGACCTTATTTACTCACATAATAGTTAGAAAGTAAGCACGAAGAATCGAGACCATACATAAAAATATTTGTACATGAAGAACCGATGATCTTTCAGTATTGGAGAGTAAAGTTTGATCTACAAAACGAGACACAGAGCAACTCTGTAGCGTGTGGAATTAATCAGTTAGACATGGCTACAAGAAAAATATGCTCTATTTCAATGATATTTTCATAGAAATAACGGGAGAAAAACGATTTATCTTGTGATAGAAGCTAGCTAATTAATTTCATGTGCGATTTCAAAGACCTTGACCAAAGCCGATACATAGAAAAATAGAGAATTTTCTGCGCTTCAAAATGAGCTATTGACAAGCTTCTCAAACATATGTCCATATAGAACAATTTACAAGAATTTAATGTATTTTGGTTTGAAGTTGCTCTGTATCTTGTTTTGTAGATCAAACTTTACTCTTCAATACAGAAAAGGAGAATATATTTTGCTTCTTTAATTCGACGGTTTCTAAGCAGTTTTCGAAAAGATCTCAAAAAATAGCACAGAAAAATAGTTTTAGAAAAACAGTTAAAAAAAGTTAGTATTTTCATGTACTTTAGCATAAAACATCGGCAATTTTATTGACCGTCGTTTTATATGTAACATTGATAATGCAATGTATGTATTATTTAGTATAACACCTATAAACAAAACGTTCTTGAACATATAAATTAAAAAAAATGCTTCATACAACGATCGCAATGTATTGGAAGAATCTAATGATCAGACACTCTTTGAAATATATACCGAACAATACAATCAGTCACGTTCCTCTTTTCACCTTCAAAACACAAGATAATTTTGATTGTAATCTTCTATCTAATTTAGGATTCAAAACTAAAGACATTCTAAGCGTTAAATCAAATTTTATAATTCATTTTCATCCAGAAAGGACTGAAAATGGTTTTTGCTAGAAAATGGGCCAATATGATTTTAAGTGAAATGACCAGAAATGCTTCCCTTTTCCCTTTTCAACACTTCTGACTTTCAAAAATTGCTTCATACGATTTCAACGACCTTGACCAAAGCCCATACATAGAAAGATAGAGAATTTTTCGCCCTTCAGAATGAGTTATTGACAAGTTTCTCAAACATATGTCTATATAGAACAATTTACAAGAATTTAATGTATTTTGGTTTGAAGCTCGTTATTTCCTCATTTTCTTCTATGAAAATCATTCCGGATTTCGCTATATTTACAGCACTGTACTTCGTTCATTGTCAAAAACACTGTATCCATTCAGTATTTTGCGAATAAGTTTATTAAACTTAATGTTTGAAACAACGTACTATAGCTTATTTTGTAGCTGTCCCAATTCTGCATTTTTCAAGGAGATCAGGAGCAATTTGTTGAAAGTCAGAAGTGTTGAGAAGTGAAAAGGGAAGCATTTCTGATCATTTTCACTCAAAATCATACTGGGCCATTTTCTAGCACAAAACGTTTTTCGTTCTTTACTTTTCGTTTTATTGTTCTTGAATGTGTATAGAAAAGGCAAATAAAAGAAAAATAAACCAATGCACAAAAATAACAGCAAAAAAAATAGAAAAAAAATCACGTTTAGACTTTCAACTATATGGACGAACAAACATTTCTTGCTGAGATATTCAAAAGAGTATTTAGAAAACGACAGAAAGATGGTGATAAGGAGGAAAAAATAAAAATAAAAAAATGAAATCATACGGAATGTATTTTTTGAAAAGAGATGAGCAGCACCATTTGTTGTGTTTCAGGTTCTAGCGAAAATGAAAAAAACCGGGACACATCGAAAAGCAAAAGGCTTATTTATTTGATTAAATCATCAATATCCGTCATATTAGCATCTTTTGTCGTGGCCGAGAGCGTATGAGCATCAAAAAAATAGTCTTCATCATTATGATTCAATGATGAAGATGATTGAAATTGAGTTACACGATCAATCATCGAATTTTGCTGTTGTTCTAAGTGTTGAGGATACGTGACAGTTTGATAACGATGTCGATAAAACAGAACGTAAGCATCAGAACGAATTAAATCTTTATTTTCAGGTAATGTTGATACTTGTTCATCATCAAAATTTCTCCAACCTTAAATAATACGCCAATTAATTTTACACATAGAATTCATAGTAATTAAGAATTGAGAACTTTTTTAATAATCGTGACACTTACCGATTTCTGATTTGGTTGAATTATTCAACGCTAGTAGTCTTGCATAAGCTGTATAATGTCCAAACCATGCTGTTCCTCGATGATTTATTATTCCAAACAGATCATAACATGATTTTTCATCATTTAAATCTGTAGATGAACAATAGGGGGCCATGTTTAAACCTCTACAGTAACAATAAAGAGAACAATTCTAAGATATTTTAATAAGATTTATAAAAGATTTTTTTTATTACCTTATAGGACATTTAACATTTGTATCTATTTTTACTCTTGTATCTGACATATAACCAAATGTGCCGTGGTAATATTTGAAACGTTTTAAATGTACAATTAATATTGGTGGTAGTTTCCAAACAGACATTTGTTTTGTTGCTTGCATAAATTCTTTACAATGTGGACAATACCATTTATCATCAACACCCAACACTTCTGGTTCAATAAACATTGATAAACATTGTTGTAATGTTATATCTTGATCTAAATTAAAATATTATCTAATGTTCGACTGTACATCTCTCATTGAAGTACAATAAATTTCATAAACATTCTTTAAAAATCATCTCTCTTCTTTTTAACTATAACTGCTAAGAACATCTTTCGCCTTAATACAACAACAAAATCTTCTGTTCTTAACTCGTTTGATGAGAACAACTTGTTTACATTGAGGTTACACTACGCAAAATAATCACAATTATGTTTAATCATGATTAAACTAGTAGTGTAACCGCTATTGTGATCATGACTATTTTAAAAATCATGATTGAAGATAATCATGTTCGAATCGATGATTATCTTTAACCGTCTCTATCGAAAAAAGATCATCAGGGTAGCGCACGTATATGAATGCTAATGATTGGTACTATTAAATCACGATTATATTTTTAATCATGATTAGTGCGATTACACACAATCTTTTTAATTACAACAAAATATAGTTATATGGTTGGGCAACATATAATGAGTTTTTACCCGGTTTGTTGCTGTTGTAAAACCAAATAGACTTGTTTAAACTAAATATAGTTAATAGTGATTTAAAAAAGTTGCGGTTTCACTAGAAAATTCTTAATTGTGATTAAGCTTTTAATCGTGATTATTTGCATAGTGTAACTTCAGTGTTAGTAATCATTTTATCGAACTAAACATTCTTAGTGAAAGACATACGAGTAACTATTCCATTATGAATCAAGCATACTAACCTCCACTGGGTGTTTCTAGTAAACTACGATCTTCTACAAGATTATTGACTCCACTTGAATGTTTTGAAGGTAAGACTTTCAGTGGAGAATCATCACCGTTATCCGTATACCAATCGATTGTGTAGTTACAATAACGTTGTAAAATCGAATCAGCCTCATCACCTGATAATACAAATATTGTATAAACTTGTCAAGCAACATTTTCTTTCACATTAAAACGTATGACAAAATTTAGTTTTAATTATACCTGTTTCAACAATTGGTTTAACGGATATACCAGCATTTTGCGGTGTTAAACGATACAATGGTTTATTGAATATATCATCATGCATATCGTAACCTTCATCATCATCGTCTATCTGAGTAATACCATTTACCATCATTCGATTTTTCCCACTATTTAAAATAGGATTTGTCTTCTTCAAAAAGTTGTCTTTTCCATTACTTGTCTGATTATTATGCTGACGTTTTTTTTTTTGTCCTTGTCGTTGTTTCGCTAAATAATCGCCTATACGACAAATACTCCATGCATCTTGACTTATTAACGTTGATCTTAATACAGGCCAATCACTATTTTCAATATCACTAAAACTACAAAAAAACAACAACAATAAGTCAAACGTCTGATATATCTTAGAAGTTCATTCTGAGAGTGATTATGGTCTCTTACCTTTCTTCTTCGTCTTCGTCTTCGTCTTCTTCTTCATCGTCATCAATTTCAAAATCACTGCTATTTTGTTCAATATTCATGTTTTCATTTTGTACAGTTATATCAAGATAATATCTAAAGAAAGTAGAAAATCTTGTTATTATTTTAAAAATTATCAGATTATTCAAACATACTGTGAATAAAAATTAATTTCGTCGACAACATTTTCGTATGTTAATTTAGATTCGGGTAATGTAACAATAAATGGGTGACCAACATGTTCGAGACAATCTGATTGACGAAAACCACAGTATGTCCGATGATCAGAATGCAAACGTTGACAAATACTGAAAGAAAGAGACGAATATAGTTTAATCATCAATTTTTCTTGCTCAGTGAATATGGTGACTAAAGTGGAAAGTGAATTGACCGACATCAATAAAAGAAAAACACTTACTCATCACAATAAAATGTTGCATAACATCCTGTACAACATTTTGGTTTAACATGTGGATTTAATTGAACTTGACAAAATGCACATGTCAATTGAAAATCATTTGTTTTAAATATACGTTGACAAAATGTTAAACGAACAATTTTTTCATTATTACATTCTTGACTTGTCAATGCTTCAGTACTAAAAAGTTAGAAATGCCACAATTAGCACAGCGTCGAGCGTGTACAGCTTATCTGAGCGTGTATATAAACCTGATGTTAAACTTCAATCAGGCAATAAGTCCGTATTTATAAAAAAAATGTTCCCAAAATTTATTGGTCAGATCATGAAGAAAAAACAATGTATTCTTTCTCAAAACTTACACATAGATAATGTCATTCGTACTCCATGAATAAGTGTTATTCAGAGATACACGATCATCATCTTTCAAATGATCAACTGTACGATTGTTATTTTTAAGACGATAGACACACATCTAAAAACAAATAATTAGAAAAATTATTGTTGTTCAACAGTATAGACACAAAAAGAGTCATCAAGTATCATATTGAAAAGGTGAATTATGACATAATTCACAACGTACCTTATTTGGTGGTAAACCACATTTTAATGATAATGTTTTTTTAAATTCATGAATTAAAGCATCTGATGACATAAGAATACGATACTATAATAAGAAAATACAAAATGTTAATGTTCAGATTCAAAACTTTTATTAAAACCTTACTTTAATAGGTTGTTTTCCTTCTGTTCTATATGTGACAATTGTATCGATTGCTGTTCGTTTTGGTAATGGTACTGATAATGACGTGAATGGATCAAATGTAACAGATTCCTTTCAATAAATAGCAATAAATAAAAAATATATATTCAAAAGATACAATCTTACTTTGTTACATTCTGGACATTTGGTTTTTGATTTGAACTGTCCAGTGAATAACTGTACGATAATTGAATCATTACGACTTAAGTAGCCTTGCCAATATTCATCGGCAACAACCTAATCCAGATTAGAAAACGATTCACTGCTCAATCAATCAGACAAGACGAAAATATAGAGTATTTTCTTACAGAATCGGGACGCCCTTGATCTTCAACGGCTGGAATATAGGGTTTAGTTTTGACACGATTTAAATCCTAAAAAGAACAATATATCTAAAATGTAGCATTTCAACAGAGATTCTCTCAAATAGGAAAAAGCGTCTCTCGGAGGCAATAGGAGCCAAGGGGAGCTAGAAGGAAGTCCTGTAAAGATGAGTGCATAAGACATTAAACATGATGATTCATTATGTGTTTATTAACGCAATTATTAGTCTATTCAGTTTCATAGATGAAACGAGGTTATCGAAGTAAAAAGCCAACTATAAGAATAAACAGACGGTTGAAAAGAAAGAACGACTGTCTTATATCGTGTGATAAAAAGTAGACTTATAGAAATGTTAGGAGTCAGATGGGATCATGATGAATCGAGAAGTTGTTAAGACGCTTTTAGATTCTCCTCACAGATAATCTACCATAAATAAACAAGCAAAAGTTCAGACAGAATAAAGCTAAATACCTCGTTTAGAGCATCGAGTAGAATTGTGAGTAATTCTTGAGCATCATGTTGACCGTTACTAACAAATTCCTGGTGTCTTTGTGCAACAAAACTCTAAAACAGAAAATAAGTGATAGATACTGACTATTTCTACTTCTCATATTTGAGATGTAGCTTACTCTTAATTTATTTGCATTTGTATAATTATATTTTCCACTCCACAGATTGTTCATCAATACACTAAATTCTTCGGCCATTATTCCTTTCATACCTAATGGATTTGTTTTATTTATTTCTAATGAATAATAGCGTTCTAAAAATTCACGTTGAAATATTATTAAATATGAAAACAAACTGGCTACTTCTTTGTACATACGTAAAAAATAATCTCTCAATTCCACTGCGTTGGCTAAACACTGTATAGCAGCATTCATAAAACATGAATTTGATGGATTATAAATTCCTGTATAGCCTCTAGACGAAGTCGCCGTTTGTACACTTGTCTCACGTCCACTACTATACAACGGTCTAAATTCATTCTATAAGGCAGAAACAGTTCATGAAGTCAGATTCAGAAAGTAATAAAGACCTGACGATGGAAGGAAAATCTGAATACCGTATTAGAAAAAAAAAGAAACCATAATACCTCCCAAGATATCTAATCAGATTAACTTATAAACAGTCAAAGACGCAAAATTAACTGCACATTGATCATAAAGGAGTCTTTTTCTCTTACCGCTGTTGATATTCGTGGCGCTGGTGCAGGTAAAGCAATAGGAACTAAAAAAAGAAAAGTAAAAATTTAATTTATTAATAATTTATTATTATTTTCTTGTTATGAGTATGAACAACCTTTTGACGACGTAACTGTTGTCACCGTGGATGAGTGTTGAGAAGGTGGCATAGGTACTGCGACTGGTTGAGTTGTTAGGTGTAGAGGAGGTTGAGATTTTATTGGTTGCTCTGTGTATTCGGAAGCTATTAACTGTTGCCATTTTCCACATTTTTCTTTTTCTAATTTAATTTCAATCAATGTTGGTGTCAATTTCCATGTACACAATTCGGGTATGATACGTTCTTTTACACGAACATGTAGTTTAAATTGAGTTTGAGAGTTTAGAAAATTTGTAGCAGACGAATGAGTTTTAAGAAATTGTTCATCACTAAAAGAACAAAACATAAAATAAGCGTCTTAGCATTAGAAACCAACATACCAGGATTGAAAATGTGCAGTAAAATCTGTTTCTGTAAAACGAATAAAACAATTCTCAACTTTTTTAATATAAAAATTTGTGGTTATGGATTTATCTTTTTCTCCAAATATTTCTGCTTTTATCTTTTTAAATTCTAATTCATGAAAATGAGTAGTTGTATCTAGTTGTTCCGGACTGTTATCGTTTAACGATAAACTGGAATTTGTCACTGTCGTCATAGGTATATCATAATATCGATCAGAATTAATATCCGTGTGGAGAGAATTATGCTGTGGTGTGATGGGTATTGAACTGAGACTATGGAGGGCAAGCCAAAATTCTCGAGGGCGTTGCTTATAAAGGATGATTGAGATTGATGATTGACTGTCATTTTTAATCGTATCAATTTCTGTTTTATCGACATAAATTGGGGCGTACAGTTGAAAATACCATCTTTCACCAGCTAAACATGGGGAAAAATACGATGCTTTTAGAAGACTTATTCTCAAAGAAAAAATCTATTGTGATTCTCTCACACGTTCGATGTACATTTGCCTTTCAAACGTTAACGTTGTACTTACACCGCGTAAGCACGCTCATAACATCTGGTTCAACTTCAAATTCGATATCTTTGACTTCCAACGGCCCATTTGCATACAGTGTCACAAAAACACGATTTCCAGCATCTTCGAAATCGTATGAACTAGATAGCGGTTCACTCATCTGGTAAAAGAAAATCAAATAACCAAAGTAAAGAAGAACAAAATGGATGACACGGATAGCGACAATACGCCAATTGAACCTGTTGGTTCGGTCCGATGATCAAAAAGCTAACTACGTTCAGTATTCTAATTAGCAAAGAAACTGAAATGACACTATCACATCTGGCATAAGCGGTTTGTCTTACACACACACACATACACACACACACACACACACACACACACACACACACAATCTAGATGTTTTGTTTAGCATTTAAAATAATTGATCAGAATATAATAAAGATGAAATGATTAAGCATCGTGATGAATCGTGTTGCAGGCCAAAAGGATTTCTTTCTCTTGGTTTTCCGTTTGTTTATTTATTTCTTATTGCTTTCCCATCCGATTTAGTCCAAAATATACCTCTAAATATACCA